AGTAGAGGGGGAGGTTAAGGGACAGAACACTAGAGCAGCAGTCAAACCTGAGGAACACTCAAAAGTACCGAGAATACGCAAGGCACCATGAAAGATGCAGGAGGCAGGCAGGTATTGCTACGCTAAGAGAAAGAAGAGGTGGACGAGTTGAAAACAAAACAAAACAAAACAGCTGAAATTCCCAATGATCAAAGATGCCTTAGGGCAGAGCAGGCATCAGTTTACCACATGCACCATTAACAAACCTATCAAAGAGCACCAAGGTGCTTCTCTGGAACTCAGAGTTCCACAGATCACAGCTTAGGACCCACTGTTACAGAACACAGAGGGGAGATAATCAGTGGCATAAAAATAGCATGCTGTTGGAAAAATATATAAAACAAGAGCTTCCTTTTTCTACTCATTCCCCATCCCCCACCCCACCCCCCCAAAAACCAACCAACCAAACAAAAACAAACCCCAAGCAGTATGACTAGGCTGTTCCCTTCTGATACCTGAAATACACAAAAAAGGAAGTCAAAATATTTTGAAAGTGAAAGCACAGACAAACCTGAAAGAGTACATGCAAATGTCTGATCTTGGGGGAAATCACAGCCTCCTTCTTCCTCCTTCCACCCCCTCTCTGGTGTAAGAGGAGGACACCAGTTTTCAAGTAGGATGGGTATGAGGAATAACAGGGAAAGTGAATATGAAACACTTTGGAATATATTAAGTGCACCATGCATAAATATTTAATAAAGTGGGAACAACCACACTTAATGGGATACATCCTCCTTAGTGCCTGACACTCCCTAGTAATAATGCCACTCCCCAAGCCCCTAATTTAACTCCTGCTAGCCATAATCCTGCACCTTTATGTATATACCTCAAACACAACTCATATGCACTAATTTCCCATATTACCTCAATAAATACTGCTACACAAGCATCCTCATTTTACAATAAAGGCTTGAACATAGAAGCTGATTTGCCCAAGGTCACACAAAGCGACTCAGGTTCCTAACCCTCTCATCAGTTTTAAATTAATTCAACAAACATCACATGCCTACTAGACGCCAGATACAAAGACAAAAAACTCACCACCGTCCCCATCTTCAAGGATTACTGACTTACTAGCTCACTTTTACTTTAACTAACTTAACTAACTAACTTCCTAATATTCTAACCCTAGTGGCTATTCACTCTCTCTCTTTCTCTCTCTGTGTGTCTCTCTTGGTCTCTGTCTCTGTCTCGCCCTCTCTCTGTGGATTACTTGACTAAAGCCTTTTGTCAATCAATGCTCACTGCCATTCCAATACCAAAATGAGCTGACAGAAGGAATTTTTAAAGTAAATTCCTCTATTTTTATTTAAAAATTTTAAATTCCTTTATTAAAAAAATATTTATTTTTAAAAAGCAACTTCCAGAAGCAGTTTGGAATTATGCTCAAAAAAAAAGTTACTAATATGTTCATGCTCTTTGCCACAGAGACTTTGCTGTTAAGAGGTGGAAGCCAGACAGAAAGGTCCCTCACACACTCTTCCTAACCTCTACTACTGTTGAGATGCCATCATCTTCCCAAACCTCCAGGTTTCAAACCTAGGTGTCATCTTCAGCTTCTCACTCTTTCTCGCCACCACCGTGCCCAATCAGCTCTCAAGTTCTGTCCACTCTACCTTGGGAACATCATACCCTACCCCACTTCTCTTTTCTGACACTACAATGACCCTGGTGCAGTCCGTCTTCACCTAAACTGCTGCAATAGCCTTCTAGTAGTTCCCTCTGCCTCAAGTCTCTCCCCATTTCAATCTCTACACCTCTGTCAAATTAATCTTGAAATGAAGGCTCTTCTCTTCCCTCCTCATTCAATAAACACTAATGGCTCCCTATTGCCTCCAGGATCAATTATAAAACACTTTTGTTTCACTTTTTAAAAACCTTTTAGAACCTGGCCGCTTCCTGCCTTGCCAGTTTGCTCACACTTTACTCCCCCCGCCACAGATTCGATAATCCAGTGACATCGAACTTCTTGCCGTTCCCCGACTCAGACTGTTTCCACTGGCTGTCCCCCCATGCCTGGGATGCTCTTCCTTCTCATCTCCCCCTCCTGGATTCCTACAAGTCCCAGCTAAAGTCCTCCCTTCTGCAAGAAGTTTTTCCTAGTCCTCCTTGACCTAGCGCCTTCCCTCTGAGATCACCTCCAGTTCATCCTGAATCTTTTGTGTGTTCACAGTTGTTTGCATATTGTCTCCCCCATTCATCTGTGAATTCCTTGAGAGAAGGGACTGTTTTTTGTTTTTAGTGTAGTTTTGCTTTGTTTTGTTTTGGCCTTTCTGTGAACCACTAGCACTTAGCACAGTGTATTTAGTAAGTGTTTGAGGGCAGAATGACTGACATACACTAAAAACATACACAGCAGCATTTCTTGTGGTAGCCAAGAACTGGAAACAAAGGAGGATGCCTATCAGTTGGGAAATGACTAAACAAACTGTTGGTGCTAAGTCGTTTTTGTCGTTATCTGACTCTTCGTGACCTCTTTTTGGGGTTTTTTGGGCGGAGATACTGGAGTGGTTTGACATTTCCTTGTCTAGCTCATTTTACAGAGGAGGAAACTGAAGCAAACAGGGTTAAATGACTTGCCCAGGGTAACACAGCTAGTAAGTGACGGAGGCTGGATTTGAATTCAAGAAGATGAGTCTTGGGGCAGCTGGGTAGTGCAGTGAATAAAGCTGTGGCCTTGGAGTCAGGAGGACCTGAGTTCAAATCCAGCCATGTAATTGGAAAGAAGGACAGCAATCTTCCCTCCCCCCTGAAACAGAATACTGTACATTTACAGTAACCAGGCATGGCCCCAAAGATGACATAAGAAAATTCACTTCCTTTCTTTTTTTGTAGAAATAGAGGTCTGGGGGCATGCAACATTGCACAGAGACTGTCATCCCGTAGTTCATGTGTTAATTAATGATGCTGTACTGCCCCCCCCCCCTCTTTCTTTGGTTACAAGGAATGGCTCCCTAGGTAGGGAATGGGAGAGAGAGATTTGTAAATGAAGGTGACATAAAAACAAAAGATTTAAAATGATATTTTATGTTATTTTATTTTATTTATTTATTTTTAGGCAATTGGGGTTAAGTGATTTGCCCAGGGTCACACAGCTAGTAAGTGTCAAGTGTTTGGTCTGAGGCCGGATTTGAACTCAGGTCCTCCTGACTTCAGGGCCGGTGCTCTATCCTCTGAGCCACCTAGTTGCCCCTGAAATGATATTTTAAAAAATCATTTCCAGAATCTCTCTTACATTCACAAAGGGAAAAGCATAGGATATGGGAGTCAGAAGATTTTGATTTTCAGATGCAGCTAGGTGGCTCTGCTGGGCCTGGAATCAGGGAGACGAGTTCAAATCCCACTAAATCGCTGTGTGACCTTGGGTGAGGTCCCTCTGCCTCAGTTTCTTCAAATGCAAAATGGGGATAATAACAGCACTCACCTCTCAGGGTTGTTGTGAGGATCAAATGAGATAATACTCGTAAGGCACTTTAGCACACTGCCTGGCACGTAGCAGGTGCTATATAAATGTGAGCTACCATTATTAACTGGCTCTAGCTAGCTGTGTGACTGTAGGCAATGTGCTTCTCTCTGTGCCTCCACTGTGTCATTTCTAAAATGAAGAGGTTGGACCAGATTTCCTCCAAGAACTCTCATGGCATCTAACACTCTATGACTATTAAGATGTTTCTGGTCTAGGTTCTAGTATCTAGTTGTAGTATCTAGTAAGATACTCGACCCCATAGTCAGACGAGATTTTCATCACAAAGGAGAGAGTCTCTGTCTCTGTCTGTCTGTCCTTCTGTCTCTCTCTCTCTCTCTCTCTCTAAACAACACATCCTCCCTTTCCCCTACCCCACCTAAATCAGCCTGTTCTCTATGAGCACCAGCTACATGCTTAGCACTAGGTGCTGGGAATGAGGCAGACCAACATATGATCGTCCCTATGTCCAAAGCCCAGCACTCTATCCACTGTGCCACCTAGAATGAGAATGCTTTTTTACGCTTTTCAAATAAAATCTTTTTTAAAAAATGTAAAACCCCTTCTTAGCTCCTGGGCCACGAGGTGGGCTTGATTTGGCCTCGGGGCCACGGTCTGCCAACCCCAGCCCTTAGTTTTAGGTGAGTCATTAGTTTTGTCTTGGCGTGGGGAATTTATACACTGGGAGTTCCCCCAAAATTAAGTCGCAGTCCATAGTAGAAAGCAAAAAAAGGCACAAAATGAACTCAAACTTATAATGAAGTCATTTGGACTATGATTTGTGTCAGCGGCCTTAGAACAGCCTTAGTAAGTGACACAAATGCTCTCAGAGGGCAAGGAACGAGCCAGTGTATGAGACATCCCCACTCGCTACACTTCCCCGCTAACTGAAGCCGACGAATGCAACTACATCACAATTCCTGAGTAATCATCGACATCCATGAAATACAAGTCATATTGTCCACGTACAAATTATTGTTTCAGTGGGCCAGAGATGAATGTATGGAGAATTTTAGAACTGTGGAATCTTAGGAAGGGACCTTAGAGGTCACACAGGCCAGCACGGTCAACCACGCAGCGTTGTGTTGGGAAATGTATTAAAATGTAATCGGGAAACATTCAACAAGATAAATAAAAATACAGCAGGGCACAGAGAATGTTTACGTGTGATTTCCAAGCCAGTATGTAGGCTCCAAAGGGATGCTTAGGTATGATTTGGCGGCCCCTATTTCCATTTCATTTTGACACCTCTGCTCCTATCTATCATTTTACAAATGAGGAAACAGACCCAGGTCCCAGTGACTTGCCCAAGGTCACACCAATAGTAAGGTACGGAGGTGAAATTTACACTCAAGTCCACCATCTGTAGTCTTTCCACAAATGCCCATTTCTATGGGCTCTGGTGAGAGTTTTATAGAGGAGGAGGTCACTGGGGTCCCATTGTGCCTATGTTTCCAGACTTTGAGACACCGTAATAAAGGAACACGGCTCTTGTTACCTGGCTGCAGCACCCTTATCTCCAGCAGGTTGGATGTCCTCTCTGCCAGGCGGGTCCAGGTGCTATTGTGATTCTTTCTCCAAAGCTCAGCCACGCACTGGTATTTACCAGCCTCGGTGTCGCTGGCCCGACTGATGCTCAGACGTACGTTGTTGCTGGACTCTGCTTTCTCAATGGCAGTCCGAGTTCGAAAGCTAGAGGACCTGTCCCCCCACTGAACCCCACCATCCCGGGTGAAGGTCACCAGGTTGTGGAACTCAATGGTGCCCACAGGCTGGAACCTCCAGGTCACCGACACTGGGACCCACGATGGGTAATGGGGTTTAATGATGCACTGTAAGTCAAATGATTCACTGTAGGTCACCCCAGGGGTGCGAGAGATGGCCGTGACAGCAAAGCCAGTCTCTAGAGAGAGAGAGAGAGAGAGAAAAAAAGAACAAGGATTTTAGACTCTCTGGAAACAGTTTCACTTAGGCAGGCAGTCTGTAGGCTTGCAGAGCTAGAAAAGCACCACAGCAGTCACCTAGTTCAATACTCTCCTTTTATAGATGAGGAATTAAAGCCCAGGGAATTTATGACTTGCCCAAGGTCAGGAATCATCAATCAGAAGTGAGCTTTGAATCTGGGGGCAGCTAGGTGGCACAGTGGATAGAGCACCGGCTCTGAAGTCAGGAGGACCTGAGTTCAAATCCAGCCTCAGACCAAACACTTGACACTCTGGGCAAGTCACTTAACCCCAACTGCCTTAAAAAAAAAAAAGAGATTTGAATCCAGGTCCCCTGACTCCAACTCGGTGCTCCTTTTCCTGTATCATAGGAGACCTCCCTGGGTTTCCTGGTTAGAAATGCAGAAAAATAATTAAAGTTCTTGGCTCCTCTCATTTCCTATATAATGTTATTACTTCTCAGAGCCAATGATATTTATGGTGCCAAGCTAGGTTGTCAAGAGCACTACTGAGGGGCAGCTAGGTGGCGCAGTGGACAGAGCTCTGGCCTTGGAGTCAGGAGGACCTGAGTTCAAATACAGCCTCAGACACATAACACTTACTAGCTGCGTGACTCTGGGCAAGTCACTTAACCCCAATTGCCTCACAAAAAAACAAAAAATTTTAAAAATTTAAAAAAAAAGAGCACTAACTGAAATGGGCAAGACAATTGGGATTAGATGAAGCCTGTGGTCCTGTCCAGCTTGGAGATTCTATAAGTCCTAAGCTCCTAGAGATCAGCCTCTATGGATAGCGCTCTCGGTGTGGCATCTATTCTAGAAGCCCCACAAGTAGGTGCTTAGCTGAAGCATTTCAGTGATGACGGCAGTTCCGTGTTGGCCAGGCCATTGACATTCTCATCACAAAGGCTTGTGAGACCCAGATAACAGACTAGTACCAAACTTAGAGATTCCAAACAAACTTTAGAACGGATCCTGGGAAACAATAGCTCTCCAGGGGAGAGAATAAGGGTCCTTTCTTCTTGTGAATCTCTCTTAATTGCAGGAAGGAAAAGAGAAAGGACAGAGACAGAAGGGAGCCTCTCTCCCTCTAACTAGCTTAGCTCAATTCTGGTTCCCTCTCTTTTGCCTTTTCTATTTTCTCCATGCAGACTTATGGCCTTAGCTGGTGACAAACTGATAGAATTTTGTGGAAATGGATCTTTCCTGCAAATGTAAAGTAGATATTATGGTATATAAATACTGGGGGGAAGGGAAGGACTGTCTAACGAAGGCCCAGTCCTCAAAGTATGCACGGGGTGAATGCTTGGAGGACCTTTCACTGCTGAGCAGGACGATGGCATGGAATGGAGAAGCTCAGCCCTCCACTTTAGAGCCTGCACAGGTGTTTCCAGGGGAAAGGGTTAGGGCCCCATTCAGCTCTTTGGCGGTGCGCTCCCCAAATATCCACCCCATGGGCTGGCACCAGGCAGAGCAGACTGGCATGCTCCCTGGAATGGGCCTTTATTGGTCAGTTGTCCTGCCATCTGAATCCCATTACAATAGTGTTTTATGAGCCTGACAGACCTTGGCTATTCAGGCAGCACTCCTGATTGAATTGGGAATTCCCCTAAACCTTGATGCCATGATTCATTAGGGTGATAGTATTGGGGTATCTTTAGTTACCTTCCACTGTTGCACTGTAGCTTTCCTGGCTTTGAGGGCAGCTTTCTCTTCACTATATCACACTATCTCTATTATTACTAATTTCATTATTATTATTTTTTTTGTGGAGACAACCAGGGTTAAGTGACTTGGCCAGGGTCACACAGATACTAAGTGTCTGAGGCCAAATTTGAACTCAAGTCCTTCTGACTCCAGGAAAGCAGGGTGGTGCAGTGGGAAGAAGCCCAGAGATTGAGTTCCAAACCTGGGTTCTGACACTTATTAGCTTTACCAGCCTGGGCCAATCACTTGACCTGATACCCATTTTCCGGGCAGGGGAGTGAGAAGACTACTTACAACACCTATTTCACAGGGTTGGGAGGACGGCTTTGCAAACAATATAAGAATCTGAAATGGGAATATTAGCTACTGTTCTTTATACCATGCTGGCAATGCCCATACATACCTTAGTGCACACAGAGCACAGGGCTTTAACAGTCCATCAGTCCATCCTATGTGAGCTAAATGGAACTTGACCCAAGAAACTAGCCCTAGCTAGAGCCTACAAACTTAGTCTACTTACAGTGTTGAACTGTCGTCTTTCTTTGCATTTCCAGCCCTTGACACAATGTCTGGCATGCAGAAAGCACTTAATAAATGCTTGCTGACTTGGCAGGGCACAGTCCCACAGAAGGTCCCCCACCCCTCCACAATGAACCCTGGTGGTCCTTTAACAAGAGGCTGCTCAATAATAAATCTTCATGCAAACAACTAACAAAAACATGCTCTTTAAGATGCCATATAATCCGATAAATCAACAGTTATAAAAACCTGGAATAAAGAGCCTTGTGCGCAGGGTTAGGGACAGGAAGTACTCCTGTAATTCCACTGATACTGGGAACTTCTGGGTAAGGAAGCCTCATCATGCTTCATTAAAATTCTAACAAGGCATGAAGGTGATCTGGGGTTCTTAACAGTTCCTTACAATACATATAGTTGCTTACAATCCAGAAAGGAACCTGGTGATAGACTGCTTGTATGTCTGTCATTCAAGGACTATCAGGTTAAGTTTGGGGAAAAAGAAAGGAACACACATTTATCAAGCACCTGTTGTGCACCAGGTCCTGTGCTAAGCACTTTACAAATAGTAAGCATTTGATCCTCACAACAACCCTGGGAGATAGGTACTATTATGATCCTCATTTTATATTTGAGGAAACTGAGGTAGGCATAGGTTAAATTGCCAAGCTATAAAGTTCCTTGGGGAAGGTTTTAAACTCAAACTGTTTTTTTCCCCCCTTAGCACAGAGTTCCTGGTACACAGTAAGTGCTTTATAAATGCTAGCTGATTATTTTCTCTGCAACTTTTAGCTTTATAAAGTTGCCCCAGGCACTGAGAGGTTAAGGTCTCGCCTGGGGTCACAAAGCCAATATGTGGCAGGGACAGGACCCAAACTCAGGTTTTCCTGAGGACAGCCTTCTCTGCACTACATCACACTATCTCTATCATTATTATTATTATTTGTGGGGGTAAGCAGGGTTAAGTGACTTGCCCAGGGTAACACAGCCAGTAAGAACCTGAGGCCACATTTGAATTCAGGTCCTCCTGACTTCAGGGTCAGTGCTCTATCCACTGTGCCACCTAGCTTCCCTTCTGCTATCTCTATTGTAAGCTAAAGATACTGGTATATCTTATAAAACCAGGCAGGAACAGAGCAAGAGACACACATATGAGCTCTGAGAGAAAAAAAAACCCACTTCTACATCTCCATTTTGGGCAAAGAGAAGTGCCACTTTGTGATGGAATGCAAAACACATTAGGCTTTTTTTTTTTAAGACAATTGGGCTTAAGTGACTTGCCCAGGGTCACACAGCTAGTAAGTGTCAAGTGTTTGGTCTAAGGCCGGATTTGAACTCAGGTCCTCCTGACTTCAGGGTCAGTGCTCTATCCACTGCACCACCTCGCTGCCCCTAGACTCTTCTAAAAGGTATAACACAACACCTCTTGGGCTTTGGCGCACTCAAGTGTGCACATACCTATGCTAATAAGTGCAAAGATTCATTAACAAAAAAAGACTACTAGGGCTCCTGGGTAAAGACTGAGTCAGCTGTGCCCACCTAGATCCTGCTGGGGAGAAGGAAACTCCCTTTTGCCAATGCAGGTTGGCATCTTCTTGAAAATTCAAGATTTCTTAAGTTAACATTCCTCACGATTGTCATTTTCAGGTTAGTGGACCGAAAATCCTAAGTGGCACTGACCTCCACTTGTTCATGAACACACTCAGAAATGGGATGAATGCATGGGTATGTTTGTATAGGCATTTGCTGAAGATCCCCCATTAGACAAATGAAGGTCAGAAACTGTAATTCTCTATCTTGAATCCCCATATCCTTAGGAAAAAAACTGGCACTCCAGCGACATCACAAGCTGAAAGTAGGGCTTTGGTGTGCAAGAAATGTAATAATATGCCGTGGAAAGTTCTCTCGCATCTCTAGCAGCCTGTGGTACTTCTCACAGGCACTCAGTAGGATTAGAGAACACAGCATTCATTGAAATTGAGTTGACCTAATTAGATCATGCCATCTTACATTTATTAGGGCTTTTTACTTTTCAAAGCACTTTCCTCATCCATTATCTCTTTGATCCTCCAGACTACCTTCATGTTCCTACAGGGGAGGAAGGTGCCCAAACGCAAATGACCTACTGGCTTATAGATATAAAAATATTTGCCTTTAAACGAAGAGGTAAGGCTTTCAACCAATGGCATGCCCCACCCCCATCTTTCCCCAAGAGCTGTCTTGGGAGGGGAGATCATTTCCTTAAAGATGCCTACACTGAAGGGGGTGGGGGGAGAGGATGACTCTGGGGGTAAGAGTTAATCAGAATAAAGAATCTCATCCCAGAGATCCTTGCTCAGAAGTGTTTTGGAAGCTCAGCAGCTATGGGGCCTCCTTGACCAGTCTTGGGCAAACAGCTGGGTAACAAAATAGACCAACATATCAGAATGACCAGTCCTGACAAACTTATTCCACTTCCTACCTTCCTCACTACACAAGGCAGGAAGAAATCTGCCACCATCAGACAAATGGGGCAGTCGTTATGTTATCTTTCCCAGCCCTGCCTCAGCCTAAAGCCCATTTTCGGCATTTGAGCTGATCAAGCGTCTTAATCGCTAGAAGTTTCTGTGGTAGAAATCTGGGCTGTGTGATTATGCCAGAAAACAGGTCAAGCTTTCGGATTAAATGCTCAGAAAGTCAATTTCATGCTTATCTTGGGAGAAAGGAAGCAAAGACACTGCCTGACCGATGGAAAATTCTATCTATCAGAGGGGCTTACCCAGGGCAACCTTTAGGAGTGGGTGTGGTCCTAACTCAGGAAACAGAGCACAGCCTTGCTTGAGGACAAGGATTTCACAATCGGGCATCCATCAGCCCAAGAACTGGCAGGCCTATTTACTCTACTGGCAGAGCAGGCCAGTCTTCTAAAATCCAATATGCTGATTGTATTGGACAGATAAATGTTATAGCACTGCCTTCTTAACTACCACATAAGAACTAAATCTAATATTCTTAGGCATTCAAAAATCTCAAGGTATTTATTTCATACTAATAAGGAAATGGATTTTTTTAGGTAGCAGCCTTGCAATGCATTTCAATAGAAGCAAGGAAGCCAGCTGAAAAATGTGTGGAATCCATAGCTAAAAAGCAGAGGGTGAAAACACGCAGAGAAGAAAGGGTTGTAAAAGAATCCCTATTGACTACTCAATGTCGAAGTCAGAGGGCAGTTTCTTGGATTGGAAGTACCTGCTTGCATCCCATGAAGCAGGGGCTCCTTGCTTACCCAGAGCGGTAATGGAGACAGGTGTGCTAGCCCTCCGCTCTCCAACGACCTGCCATTCACCATCCACGGCTCGCACCCACTCAGTCACGTGGCATTCATACTGGCCTTCGTCCTCCTTTCTGCTGTTAAAGATGCCCAAGGTAAATGAGTTGGGCTGCACCTGTTCCATTTGGACGCCTCCAAAGCTGCTGCGCTCCCAATAGGAAGAGCCAGGCTGCACCGTACCATCTCTGTCCAGCCACATGATGTTATTTCGCCGATTCCGTCTGTCCAGCAGCTGCCAGATGACCGAGAAGCGGCCCTGGGCTCTGTCTGCTGTTCTCACACTACAAGAAAAGTGAAGATTCTCTCCTTCCAGGATGGTGCTGGCATTACTGGTTACTTCCACCGAAATGCTGCTCTCTGAAGAGAAGGAGAGAGTAACAGGGAGGTGGCATTATACATCCACTGACCCCCTCCCCATGACAGTAGAAGACATTTCTAGCATCAAGGCTGGGGAACAAGAACAGGGAATATTCTTACTGACTTTGTTGCTGCTGTTGTTTTTAACTCATAGGGAGCTGGAGGTGTTGTGGATTAGAGCACTACACTTGGAGTCAGGAAGATCTGAGTTCAAATCCTGTATCAAACACTTAGTAACTGTGTGACCCTGGGCAAGTCACTAACCCTCTCTTCAGTTTCCTTATCTGTGAAATGGGGATGATACCTCACAAAGTTGCTGTGAGAACCAATGTAAAGGCAACAAACATATGTAAAAGACGTTGCAAACCTCCAAGTACTACATCAGTACTAACTATTATGAGTAGCAGTAACAACAAACCAAAATAGACCTGGTATCTTGATTATTTCCGACCTTCAGTAATGAATGCCACTAGATTCAGTGTTTGTTCTCTGCCTGAGAATCACAGAACCAGAGTTGGGAATGGCCTTCAAGGTCATCCAGACCAACCACCTACCCAAAACATGAATCCCTTTATGCAGGGATGCTAGTTTTCAAGACTGAATGGCTGTGTGGAACTCTATGAGAACAGCCCGACATTAACTTCAGGGCCCATCCTCTGCTTACCCATACAACTGAAATGAAAGGGTTGGGTTTTTTTCACAGTTCTTAATATTTTTAAAAATTGAAACTTCTATTGAAAATTGCTTTATCCTACTCATCCCCTCTGATTCCCCTTCCTTAGTCCTGCACATCAGTCAAACAAAAGATGAGTTGTACATCAATACCTTGCCTTTTTCTGCTCATTCTAGGTAGTTAGAAAGAAGAAAAAAGCTGGGAACACCCCTGCAGGAATTTTCTTAACACACAGTTATTTCTCAAAAACCTACAATACCAGAGCAGGGCAGCCAGACAGATAAGTCAGAGCAACTGACGGTCCAGACATTATTTACATGGAGTCTGGGAATACTCTTTGGACTTATATTAAACAATTAGAGTTTGCAGACTGAGCTAGTTCACCCCCCCCACCCATCCATCCCCAACTCATGCTTATCGTCTGTTTTTCTTGAATACCCTTTATTTGCTACCATTGGAAGAGGTGTTTTGAGTGGAAACCCATCCATCCAATCCAATGCAACAAATGATTATTAAGTACAAGCTACATTCAAGGCAATGAGCATCACAGTGAAAAGGGCTCTATTCTTCAAGGAGCTTACAAGGTTTGAAGCACTGAAGGAGGAATGTGTTGTGTGTCTCTAGTGCCTCGGACAGTGCACTGAACGTTTAACAGACACTTAATAAATGCATGCTGTTGGGTCCCAGTGACTCTTTACTCCTTTTACTTTCCTGAGAGCTTTGGTTCTGTTTGTTTTCTTATTGTTGTTTCTTCCTAAAACACTCGGGTGCATACCAAAACTTTTCCAATCTACTGGACTGCAAAAGTCTGAAAAAAGAGACCTTAACTGTTCAGAACATAAAGTGCATTTGTTAGGGCAAAGTATCTCAACCACAACTGTCTCCAGCATACGGAAGAAAGAATTTTAATAAAAAAAAAATCAGATGAAATTAGATGAAAAAGATTCTTCAAACCAATCAGTTTAATCAAATTCCAAATTAGGAAGCACAGATATGATAGACCTATGCAGCTTCTATATCTGTTATCCTCCCTGTCACTAGAAGGTCAGAAGAAACTAGGGATCATGGATTTGGAGCTAGAAGTTAGACCTCATCTCATCCAATTCCCTCATTTTACAGATGAGGAAACTGAGGCCCATTGTGGTTAAGCAATATGGAAGCCCAGCCAGGATTCAAAGCCCAGGCCCTCTGACACCAAATCTAGCATTCTTTCCACTACCTTCAGGAAGTCAATTCATCAGCTCTTGCTACCATGAGTATGACTGTGGCCTATTTGGGACTTCTCAGGATAATGCCAGGGATGAAGTATAGGACACTCAATGGGAGGGAATGACGGGTCCTCTCCAAATCCCTGAAAGATCCTTTGTCCAACAGTTAGATCTTGCAGAATCACAAGTCATAATAAAAGGACTCTTAAGCACCATGGTACTCTCCCAGGGCTTCAGATGCAAGTGCCTTGCTGATTAGCCAAAACAACTGGCAAAAGTCAATAACTCCAGAATCGAGGCAGGAAATCCACTTTAGTGAAAAAATAACTTCCAGGTCAATAGCTATTCTGGACTCACTGTAACCCCCCCCCACACACACAAAAATATATGCATATAAATATATGTATGTATCCGTTTGTAATGCATGTATATGCAAATGTGTGCATATATGTACGTATATATGTGTGTACACATACATACAATAGGTCTACAAAAACAACAAAAATTGCAATATTGGGCTAGACAAAATAAGGTGCCTTGGGAAATACGGGCAATGCCAACTGGAGGTCAGTGTTTGCCTTGTCCATCAAGATTATCTATTCATGCTTCCAGGCTTGGGAAAAGAAGAAACCTGCAATTAAACACTATCTACATGAAGTTAAAAGGGGACAATGCTCAGAACAGTATCACAGAGAGCTAACAGGGATCTTCAAGGCAAGAGCTGATGATGCAGCAGAAGTTATTAGGAAAAGCCCTAGATTGGGTGTTGGGAGCACACTGATCTCAGTATTATTAAGTGACCAACGTTGGTTAACACCTCACTCTTCTGTGCTTCAGTTTCTCCATTTATAGAAAATAGCACACCTTCCCCTAACCTAGTCTAGAGATTTTTTTAAAAGCAGAAACCTGGAAAGAAAAAAGGCAATCTGGACTCTTTCGAAGAAAAGCACCATTAGAATTCAAGGCATAATCATCATCACCATAACTGTTGTGGTCATTTTTGTTCTCTGGTAGACTTACCCAAGTGGCCTTGGGGCAGCATCTGATGGTGCTGGGGGACTTTTACTACCCAGATATCTGCTGGAAAAGCAATATAGCAGGCCACAGATCATCAAACAAGTTCTTAAAAGAGACTGGGGGAAATTTCTTAGGGTACAGGAAGATACGAAGCATGGTGGCTGTCCATTTGATCTGTATCAAACAACAAGTAATTAGTTTGTGGATGCCAGATCAAGTCCTTGGATAAAGCCAGCACAGAACGACAGAGAACTAGCAAGACAGGGGAAGGCGAAGAAGTGGGAGCTAGTAGAAGAGAGGAGTCCAAGGAAAAAGGAAAAAAAAGAATTCCAAGGAAATTGGATGTTTTTTATACAGGGACAAGAGAGAGAATTATTCTGGTATATAAGAACAAGAGGATCAGAAGACCCCTATCTTTACCCCATGCCTGGTTCTAGTTTCCATATTTTAAAGGGAATAGTAAAGAACTAGAAATGGTTAAGGAGGAAAAGAACAATGAAAATAATAAGGCTAAAATATGAAGAGAAAATGAAGACGGAAGAAGCTAGGTTAGAGATAGTTTAGGAAAGATCGACAACCATCTTTTTTCTTTTCTTTGTTTTTTTAAAGAATACTGAAATGCTTAATTTCCATGAAACATAGAACTAATAGGAAATAGATAAAAAACTGTAAGCAGTTTAAGTCAGACAGCTATGTAGGCTTGCCTGGACACAGGGGGCTCAACCAAATGATCTTTCCTGAGTACGGAAAACAAAGTTTTATGATTCATTTCATTTTTTGATTTTTATACCAGAATTTTAACATAGGAAGGAGATTTAGGCAAATGCAACTTCTGAGTTCTATGCTATGAAGTCTTGACCTCAAGCATCATTCTTCTAAATGAGATTTTAAGCTGAGATTTAAAATCCTTCCACAAAAAGTTAAAACTCTAAGAGAGACTCATGGTCCACCCACTTCTCTGGGGTTTAGCTGCCTTAGGGTAGGCAAACAGTTTTCCTAGATCCCAGGTTCTCTCTATACCTTGGGAGTATTGCATTGTCCAAAAGAATCAATACAGAGTAGTGGGTAGAACACTAGATTTGGACTCAGGAGACCCTCAAACAATTAGCCGATGTGTGATGTTGGATGAATCACTTAACATTCTCGTGCCTCAGTTTCCTTATCTGAAGAACGGAAGATCTGATAGCTTATAAATGTTCTTTCCGGCTCTAAATCTATGATCTCGTGTGTAGATGTTGCAGCCTGAGTCTGTCCTTGTACAATCCCAGGCTTGGTAGGTCTCAAGCCCCTCCTCTGAAGCTCTGCCTACCTAAAGAGGTACAGTGAGTACTGAAAGAGAGGAGCTGTAGAAGGAAGGGAGGTTAAGTATTTTGTTTTTCCCCAGCAGAGTGGTTACCAAGGCTGAGTGCTACCCACTCCCATCTGTCACCCTCCAGTTTCCCTTAATCAAGGATACCATTTGGCAAACCAAAAAACAATAGGAAAGAGTGGGGGGGGAGAGAAACACAATTCTCTACTTACTGAGTGGAAGCACAATGATGGGAATGTTCTTGGGGCGCTTGCTTTCTTTGTCGATGAACTCGCCAGTCACCGTTTTCTCTCGCTCTGTCACCCTGCAGTTGTATTTACCGCTGTCCTCCTGGCGGAGGTGGTAGATCTTCAGCACAAAGACGCTGTCACTCTCTTTGGACACCTTGAGCTGGCCCCGGCTTTCCCGTTGAGCAAATTCACTGTTAAGCACAGGCACCGCGTTGGGCCCCAGGCTGGCAATGAGGGAGCTGTTGAAAGCCCAAGAGACGGCAAAGTAGCGGTCAGGAACGTTTTGAGCCTCAAGGATGCAGCGGAACTCTACTGGCTCACCAACAGTGTACAGCCGTCTGTCTGTCTCTAGTCGAACACTGAACTCTTTGTCTGAGAAAGGAATGGAACAGAAAGGGGAAAAGAAGAGATGGGGGGGTCACTGATGCCAAAAGATACATATCATTCAATCTGCTACAGAGGAATATAGGTTCCTAACTCGTCAAAGTATGTCAATAAATCACTTGATAGAGCTGACCTAATATTCCAAGATAATAGCAACACAACTGTGACCGTGAGAGATAGGACCCGATTACTGGAGAACCAAGTGACACCTAGAAGTCAGAGAAATTTCAAGACTGACCCAAGAGCCTGGATTCATGAATTCTAAGAATATAAGCTCCTTGAAGGCAAAAACTGACTTCAGATTTGAATTTGTACCCCCAGTACACAGCAAAACCTTTTGCACATATTAAGCACTTAATAAATGTCCTCCCTTTTTCTCTCTCTGTCTCTACCTCTCTCCTCTCTTTTCCCTCCCTTCTGTCCCCGCTCTTCCCCTTTCCCTCTCTATCTCCCTTTTCCGTCCTTCTCTCTTTCTCTATTCCTTCTCTTCTCTCTCATATGTTGGACTGATAGTACCTAAGACCTGTGGCTATAGATCCAAGCTCCAGGTCAGCCCTAGAATTGACCAGCATCATTTGGAAACAGTTGCTCTTTCAAAACCGTGCCTGACCCACATCCAAGAGAAAAATAAGGACACTGCAGAAATTCCAGGATGGGAAAAGGAATTTCGGAAAACCTGTCTATCCCACCTTCATCAGCTGGTCAGGTTTATGAAGCACTCCACCTACCCCCATTACTCATAAATATCCAAAGATGAAGAGAACGAGATTTTGCTCTATTCAATAAGCATTTATTAATTGTTTACTCTACACTAGGCAGCTAGGTAGTTCAGTGGAGAGAGCACTGGGTCTGGAGTCAGGAAGACCCGAGTTCAAATCCAGCCTCAGACGCTGAGCTACACGAGTCTGAGCAAGTCGCTTAACCCTGACTGCCTCAGTTTTCTCATCTGTAAAAGAAGCTGGAGAAGGAAATGGCAAACCACTCTAGTATCTTTGCCAAGAAAACTCCAAATGGGGTCATAAAGAGTTGGACACAACTGAAAATGACCAAACAGTAGCAACAACCATGTACCAGGGACTATACCAAGTTCTAGAGATACAAAGAAAGGCAAAAATGATCCCTGCTCTCAAAGAATTTACATTCTAATGGGGAAGACAACATGTGAATAAATAGGTATGTATATATGTATGTATGTGTGTGTATAAATATACACACACACACACATACATACATATGTATATACATAAGGATGTACACACACATACGTTACATCAAGAGTAGAATAAGAGAGGTAATCTTAGAGAGGAAGGCTCTACCAGCCTGGGAACCTAGGGGAGGCCTCCTGCAAAAAGTGGCATTTAAGGTGAGCCCTGAAGGAAGCTGGGGATTCTAAGAAACAGAGATAAGGAGGGAGAACATTTCAGGACCTGGGGTCAGCAGTGAAAAAGGATGAAGGGAGGAAATGGAGGAACGAGCAAAGAGGCCAGGAATACACAGGAAGAAGCCAAAGATAAGAGAACTGGAGAGGTAGGAAAGAGTCAGGTTCTAAAGAGTTTTAAATGCAAAGGAGAAGACATTTATTTGAGCTTAGCAGTAACAGAGAGCCGCTGGAATTTATTAAGTTGGGGGAAAAACCTGTCCATCTGCACTTTAAGAAAATCTCAGGGGCAGCTAGGTGGGGTAGTGGATAAATCTCCAGCCTTGGAGTCCGGAGGACCTGAGTTCAAATCCGGCATCAGACACTTGACACTTATTGGCTGTGTAATCCTGGGCAAGTCACTTAACCCTGACTGCCTCACCCATAAAGAAAGAAAAAGAAAGAAAATCCCTTTGGTAACCAAGTGGCCAATAGAGTATATTGGGGAGGAAACTGAGGTAGGGAGGCTAACTAATCAGAAAGTTATTGCAGTCAAGAAATGAGGAGGAACTAAAAAACAGGGTAGTGGCTGTGTGTGTGATGGGACAGAAAAGGATGTATCAGACAGAGGGTGTCATGCCAGACACAACAAGATTTGGCAATATACTGGACAAGCAGAGTGAGTAAGAGTAAGAGTAAGGAGTTGAGGATGATACCATGGCAGCAGATATCATCAAATATGGCGAGACAGGCAAACTCAACAGACTCATATGGGAGAAATTAAAGTCAACTTCTCAGTAGCAGTCCACCAATCAGACCCAATCTTTTAGGACAACCTCTTAAGTGGGGTTCCCAAACATTCTTAAAAGGTTTTTGTTTTATCCAAGAAGGAAGGGATGGAGGTCAGAGGTATCCTTTGCCCCTTTAGTCACTAACAGATGGAGGCAGCATGAAGGCAGCATAGCTTAGTGGAGAGAGGGCTAAGTTTGGCTGGAGGCAGGAAGACCAGATTTCAAATCCCACCTTTGAAATTTACTAGCTGGAAAAAAAAATTGGGACCCAGTGTCCTATCATCCTTATATCCATTTTTTTAAAAAAGGGAGAAAAAAAAAGATGAAAAATCCGGAGCATGATCCTGTTGGGAAGAAGTGACGCTGTCAAAACAGGACTTTCTTAGGATCACAGATTTAGAGCTAGATGTTTGGTGGTTTACAGTTGTGTCTGACTCTCTGTGACCCCATGTGGGATTGCCATTTCCTTCTCCAGCTCATTTGACAGATGAGGAAACTGAGGCAAACAGGGTTAAGTGACTTTCCCAAGGCCACACAGCTAGGAAGTGTCTAAGGCTGGATTTGAACTCAGAAAGAAGATTCTTCCCGACTCCAGGCTAGGTACTGTGTGCACCATGGCGCCACCTAGCACTGCCCCATTAGAGTAGACATGACCTTAAAGGTGGCCTACTCCAACGTTTACGGATGACGAAACAGGCTTAGGGACTTGGTAAGCATCAGAGGCAGGATTTGAACCTGGGTTCCTCAGGCTCCAGAGCCGGAGTTATTTCCACCGTGTCCAATTGCCTCTTCACTGTCATGTAGTTCCTATACAACGCAGGCAAGCAGGCAGGGATCAGGGCTGGGGAAGGAAGATTTTTTTTCCATTTGTTCTGTGATGTTTAGATTCAGTCCAAGGGCTGCACTTGAGACCTCAAGGCCACAGATTCCCCACCCCTGCTTTTTCCTTTTTTTTTTTTTTAAAGTGAGGCAATTGGGCTCAAGTGACTTGTCCAGGGTCACACAGTGTCAACTGTCTGGTCTGAGGTCAGATATGAACTCAGGTCCTCCTGACTCCAGGGCCAGTGCTTTATCCACTGAGTCACCTAGCTGCACCTCCCCCCTGCTTTTTCCTGCAGGGAGAAGAACCATATCCCCATGGTTGCTTCAGCACCCACCAGCTTCCTTCTCAATCTTCTCCCAGTCAACTTCTCCCTGAACTATTTTCGCAGCACTAAGTATGATCTGGGAAGGGTACTAATTTAAGCCAGCTATCACTGTAGCTAAACAGACAGGAGGTGATATACTGACGCCACAACCTTCTCTTTCAGTTAATCTGGGATTGTCTTTCAAAAAGATGGAACTTGGATGAATTTGCATGTCAGATTTCGAAAATCCTAACTCCAAGTAGGTATGATTAAAATAAAGAAGATTAAACTCAGGCAACCTAATTCAAGTGCACTCAGAGTTCATGACTGATCTTAAAGTTCCTCAGGATAGGGATGAAAGACCAGAGTTACCAAGTAAGAAGGCTGAGGAAAGCCCTTCCCCTTTGGCCTGCCTTTCCTGACCAATTGAACATTATCCTCTCTCACACACTCGACATCCCCTCATGACTGGCCTCATTGTCATTCCCCAAACTTGACATTCCATTTCCTAACTCTGAGGCTTTCACAGACTGACCCTCCCTCCTCATCCCCACTTCCTTCAAGTATCCCTTGTTACACAAGGCTTTTATTCTGTTCTTCCCCAGTATTCATCATCTCCCCACCCCAACTATAATTTCATACATATTTTGTATTTTCTTAACCATGCACACATTGTCTCCCTCTAGTAAAATGGGAGCTCCCTGAGGGGGAGATGTCTTTGTTTTTATCTGTCTTTATACCTAACACCCACCATTTTGTCTGGAACACAGTAGATGCTATCAGGGTGATTTTCCTAAAGTAAAGGTCTGACCACATCATTCTCCTAATCAACCAACTTCCCGCTGTCTGTAAAATAAAATACAAACTCCTCTTTATGGTATTTAAGGACCTTTACAAGCGAGGCCCCAACCTACTTTTCTAACCTTATTATATATTACTCTCTTTCTCCCACTCTGTGGCCCAGACAAATAGTCTTCTCCTTATTCCTGACACGTCAGACTCTATCCCTTCCATGGGGGGACCACCTGTCCCTCATACCTGAAATACTACCCCCCCTTCAGCCTCAGGATTCCTCATTTTCTTCAAAACTCAGATCCAGCACTGCCTTCTCCACAAAGCTTTTCCTGAGCACCTCCCCCACTCCCAGCTGCTAACCACCATTTCATTTCTGTATTTGTAATCCCAATACCTACACTTAAGGTCTGTTACTCAGTAGGTACTTAATAAATGCCTGTTTTGAATGGTTACGATAGACAATTTAAAAGATCCCCATCACCAGAAACTATCTTGTTTCTAATATGAACATAAATATACTTATACATATACCCATACATACGCAGGTATAAACATGCACATGTGTAGATATGGATGTAGGTATAAAATACATGTGGATATGTGTGTGTGTACACACACGTGCCTCCTTAGATAAAATATAAGCCTTGTACAGCTCCTGAAACACAATAGTTTAATAAGTGCTTCCTGACTGATTAATACATTCTTGTCAAACGAATTCATTTCAGGATGTCTAAAAGATTCAGAAGCTTCTGAATACTCTAGTCCTCAGGAGCTGGTTAGGAAGCAACCAGTTAATGACATGGCCTCAAGCTCTCACACCCCATTAGATTTTCATATCATTATGGAAATTAATAAACGCTACCTAACCATGAAATGTAGACCCCATTTGAAGGCACAGAACAGCTAGAACAGAGGGTCTTAATCTGGGAAATGGGGGTAGGAAGAGGGGTGGTATCCCTTAATTTGGATGGGAAAAAAAGGTTATCTTTTGCTTCCTTTGTGACCCTGTATATTTTATTTTACACATTTAAACATATGATTCTGAGAATGGGTCCACAGACTTCACCAGACTGCCAAAGCTCTCCATAGACACAAGAAAGTTAAGAATCTCTGAGCCTGAAGAAAAGTCCATGCAAAACGGTAACAGCAGCGTGAGAAACCAAAGTTTCTGACTTTTTTTCAACTAGGAGAATCCAAACTTTGCTATCCTGTCCCTTGAACTGACCTAGACTCATCCTTCCACAGGACACTCAAACATCCACTCACTCAACCCCAACACTACCAGCACCCTTTTAGAATAGAATATTTGGAGAATTCACAAAGAGATTCAAAACAACTTAAATGCTAGCAACACAGGGCCATCAGAGAAAGCCTTCCCCTACAAAAGCATACACCAGCAGCTCCCAGTAGCAAAACCAAACATTTGACACACAGGACATCAGCTCTCCAGTCTAGAACTATGGCTCATGATGGACAGCTCCTTATCTCTTATTTATCTTGTGGTCCATGGAAGCAGCAGGGGCCTGGAATCCTAGCTACTGTTTTCAAACATTAACAGAGGAAAAATATATAAGGTATATTCTGGTCTTTCTCCATTTCCTACTCAGAGTCAAAAGAGATACTGTCTCAACATGGTGCTCCTTCAACCCCCGAATCGTTTATTTTTCTGAGGGCCACTGGGAGTTAGAACAATCTAACGTCAGGAAACCATTCTCAAGGGGAAATAGTTTCCATGCTCCCTACCATAATTAATCCGTCAATAACCAAGCATTTCTTGAGCACCTACTATGTGCCAGGCACTGAAGTGGAGATATAAATTTAAAAAGAGATGGTTTCTGCCCTCAAGGAGCTTATTTTCTATCATAAACAACCATTATGGTAGAGCACATGATTTAATTAAACTCCCACAAAACTAACTTAACATCCTCCACCCTCCTGAGATTAGTTACATAAATGTATGCCAGGATTCATTCTGGGATTACATACCAGAAATCTGCAATTTGCCCAGCAATTTGTATAGGTTCCTCATGTTACACAAATAAAATGACAGGCCTTCTTAAAGTATTTACATTAAATATACCCCAACCTCATTGGCCCTTAGGTAAATCCAATATTTAATTAACCATCAGAGTCATAACTAGGACAGGACAGTTGGGGCTTTGCCCCAAGGCACTTAATTTAGGATGCTGACAGCATTAGCAGCTTGGAAACAACAGAATTAAACATCTAGTTAGCAAGAATAATGAGTTAACATAGTAATCTTCAGATGGAAGATTGAAGAGAACTCTTTCCCAGCCCAGCTCTTTTCTTTTGTCCCTACCTTACAGGCTAGTCTCTCCAAAAAGCAGCCTCTGAGTTAGTGTCCAAGGGCTTCTGTTTCTATCTTTACCCACTCAATACAATTAATGTCGTCTCCAGACACCCCATCCCTCAACAACTCTGAGCCTACTTTGGCTGCTTGCCCAGAGTGGTCTATGATACCCGGCCTGGTTGTAAAGATATCTAGATGTGGCATCAATGCCACATATACATAAACATCTTTTTGGCTTCTAATGGCCTCCAAATTTACCCACTTTAGTGCCAAACAACCCACGCATCCAGGGGAAATAAAGCACTAACCAAGGAGAAGGGAAGAGAGGCTCAAAGATACTAACCAGTTGGCTGGACATTGACCACAGCTCCTTCCGAACGCTTGAGGGTCATGGGGTACCATGACTTGTCAGGATCCTGGATCCACTCAGCAGCCTCGCAGTAGAACTCGCCTTGGTCAGATGTCTGCAGGTGGTAAACGGTGAGCCTGAAGGTGGTCTCGCCCAACTTGTCCAGGCGGACCTCTCCCAAGGTCTGCCTCTGTGCATATTCACTGCTAGAATGGAGCACAAAATCCCTGCTCAGAGAGATCACCTCCACGGGCTTCTCGCCAGCCCTCTGCCTGTACCAGGTAACTGAGAGGTGGCTGTGCTGCGATGTCTCCGTGGCCACCTCACAGCTCAGTTCCAAAGAGTCCTGCTCCACCTTCTGAAGCGTCTGGGGTGTCGCTGTTGCCTGAAGGGAATCTGGGATCACTACAGGATGGAAAAGTAAACATGGTAAGAACACTACACCAATGCCATGGAAACAACACTCAACTGGAAGCAGACGATCTGGGTTCGAAACCCAGTTCTGTTGTTAGTTGCCTGAGTAGCCTTGGGCAGCAAGTCAGCTTACCTTTCCAGGCCTCAATTTCCTCAACTGTAAAATGAAGGAGCTCGATAGGTTTGGTAACCTCTGAGGTCCCTTCCGGCCCTCAATCTATGACTTGTCAACCAGCCAATGTTTACTAAATACCAGCTATGTGTCATGCACTAGGGATATAATAGCAAAAAAGATCAAAAGAAAATTATAAAAATCAAAGAATCTTAGGGTGACAAGAGAATGTACAGCCTCATCTAACGAAACAATATTTTAAAGTGCCTAGCACATAGTAGGTTCTTAATAAATGCTTGTTCCCTTTCTCTTCAACACTGGAGGAGTCCCTTCCCCCATTGCAGCAACCCAGACAAATGGTCAAATATCAATTATCTGAGCTAATGGCAGGGAGGGCTGGGGGGAAGGAGCTCTGATACAGATACTTCAAAAATCTTTTCTATTTGGCATGGGAATGGGCTTTTATGCCTACAATGAATATGCATATGGGTGGGTCTGACATTCTGGGAATTTACAACACCCCGTGTAAAATATGAGGTTTGTCACTTTACATAATAAATGAGTTCCCTGAAAAGTTGTGTAAGTACAAATTTTTAAAAGTCAGCCTGGGTTCTCCTGTTGATTTATGTTACATCAAAGATGTTTTCATTTCTCCACACAGCAGAAACTTCTCAACTGAAGCTTTCCAGTTTTTAAATTTGACACTGCTGACCACCCTCTCCTTCTAGATAATTATTCCACTCTGGATTTTCATGACACTGCTCTCTCCTGGCTCCCTTCCTACCAGTCTGATCTCTCCTCACTTCCCTTTTCCCAGCTCATTATCTATATCAGACTCCCAACTGTAGGTGTACTCCAAGGTTCTGTCCTATGCCCTCTTCTCCATCTGTCTCTACCCTCCCGTTTGGTGACCTCATTGTTCCTAATGGGTCTAAATGATTATCTCTGCAAATGACTCTCAAAATTTATATAGCAAGGCACAGACTCTCTCCTGAGCACCATATGCACACTCTGTCTTGAAGATTAAAAGCTCAACGCCCATAGGCATCTTAAACTCAACCAGTCCCAAACAGAGCTCATCGTTTTATTCCCAAATCTCCTCTCCCCTACCTCCACCCCCACCCCTACTACCCTGAAATCTTCTCTACTCCCAAATCTCTTCCCCTCCCACTACTCTGAAATCTTCTCTAGGTCTGCTGAGGGCACTGCCAATTCTTCCAAGCTGCCCCCATTCACAAGCTTGGCATGATCCTTGACCCCCAATCTCCCTCACCCCATGGATTCAATTAATTGGTAAATCTTGTCATTTTATTTCCTTCTATCTCGTGCTTTGCTCCCCTTTTCTCTACTCCCAAGGCCACCACTCATCAACTTCAGACTTTCATCAACTACGGCCTGGACCACTGTAACAGCCTCCTAACCAGTGTCCTGACTCAAGGCTCTCTTTTCCCTACTCCATACTTACTTACAGAGACTAAAATGATGGTGCAGGTTGGACCCTGTCATTGCTTCTTTCAATAAACTCCAATGGCTCCCTATGACTTCTAGTATTAAGTATAAGCTTCTCTGTTTAGTTTTTAAGCTCTTCTAAAGTACCTTTACAACTTATTACGCATTGCTCTCTTCCTACTCCATGGTCCAGTCAGGCTGGTCTTCCAGCTGTTCTTCACAGATGACAATCAATCTCCAGCCTCTATACTTTTGTACTGGCTGTCCCCCATGCTTGGAATGCACTCCCTTCTCATCTCCACCCCTGCGGATCCCTTATTTTCTTCAAAACTCAATGTAACCAACACTTACACGAAGCCTTTCTTGGCCCAGAAAATATATCTTTTACATATCTTGGCCATATTTATATACATATTGGGGGCAAAGCACTGGGCTCGGAACCAGGAAGATTCAACTTCATGAGTTCAAATCTGGCCTCAGACACTTTCTAGCTGTGTGACTCTGGGCAAGTCATTTTACCCTATCTGCCTCAATTTCCTCATCTGTAAAACGAACTAGAGAAGGAAATAGCAAACCACTCTAGTATCTCGGCCAAGAAAACCCCAAATGGGGTCACAAAGAGTTGGACATGAGTGAAACAACTTGATAACAACATATACATACATGTTGTCTCGCTCTGATAAAATGTTTCATTTCATTTTTGTTTCTATGTCTCTAATTCCTGGCATAGTGGTTGGCATAGAATAGGGACTTAAATACTCACTGATTAACTGATCCCTCCTCCAAAACACTTTAAACCTCACTTTTCCTGTTAAGTCGTTAATGATTTCTAGGTAAATACTTAAAATATGCTAAGAAAGTCACTTAAAGACTTTTTTTTAGCAATGGAAGTATCCCACTATAATGTGAATAATCATTTTCTAATTTAGCTGCTGCCTAAGTGTGGATTTTCATATACCAGGCTGGTAAATCACACACATCGGTATGCAGGCAACTGTAGCGTAATAACCACCAGTAGTGGTGACTCTATCCCAGGTCCTCAGAATTCCTCCCTCCCCAGCCCCAGATCTTCAGACCATCTTGTTGTATTTGTAGTACACTCTTTGGGGGGTAGGGAGGGGGAGGGAATAATTACTACTTTGGTTGAAAAGGCCACCTGTTGGGGTACAGGGCCTCTAGAGGAATAAAAGTAAACAAAAGATAGTGAGTTGTGTCAACTAAGAGCTGTTAACAATTCTGCCTAATTAAATTAATAAGAATTTGAAAGGAAGACTTGCACATTATTGGCTCAGTGACAGAAGGACACTCAACAACCTAGTTATTTTTAATCCATTTGCATTGGCAGCACACAGGCATTGTGACCAATGCCACCCTTCGAATTTCCAGATTTCCACCCGCTTCTTCCTCCCACTCCTACCATCCTTTACCAAGCATCTTGGCCAAGAAAGCAGCTGGCTCGCCATTTCTCATGCATGGGGCTACACGACTTGGGAAAGGCTCTCGGTATTTAAATAAAGAGCCAGACCACATCAACTTCATCCTTTCTCCACTGTAACAGCTTCCCATGCACTTCTGAATCCTATGTGAAGCTCTACAGTTGCTGAAAGCCTTCCCACCCTTCCCCAAAGAATTTTGTAAACTTGTCTTTCTCCTTCCCTCTGCTCCAGGGGTGGCGAACCTGCGGCCTCCAGGCCACACACGGCCCCCTACGTCCTCAAGTGCAGCCTTCTGATTGAATCGAAACTTTACATAACAAATTTCTTAGGATTCAGTCAAAGGGTCAAACTTGAGGACCTAGAGGGCCACAGGTTCTCCACCCCTACTTTCCCAACATTAATTCCCTATTTCTACTCCTCACAATTTCTTTTCACCGTGTTAGAGCAAAATCCTGCTCCACTTTGTTCCGGCAGATCCTTCTACCTGGAATGTCCTCTCCTCTTTCTTCACTTATTTGAATTCCTACTCATTCTTTAAAGCCCACACCTTCTCCTGCAAGCCTTCCCTGATTCCCCAGGTCTTTCTCTTTTATATTTCAGGAGGCACCCTGCAGACTTAAGAATGCACTGGCTGTGTATTACAGCTATCTGTGTTGTGATCTATCCCCCTACCAGCCTGCAATCTCCTTGAAATCATGATGGGTTTTTCTTACCTAATCCTTGTATCCTTTCCCCCATCCCAACAACCTCCCTATGACCCACACAGGGCTTTGTCAGTCTACATTTTATTCTTCTCCAAAGCATTTGACACCTGGAAGGGCTACTTCTAAGTTTCAGCCCCAGGTTTCTTCTGTTGTTGCTCAACCATTTCTGACTCTTCACGACCTCACATTTGGGTTTTCTTGGCAGAGATACTGGAGTGCTTTGACATTTCCTTCTCCAGCTCATTGGACAGATGAGGAAACTGAGGTAACAGGGTTAAGTGACTTGTCCAGGGTCACACAGCTAGTGACTGAGGCCCAAGTGCTCTATCCACTGTTCCCCCTATTATGTGTAAATCAAACTCAAATATTTTCTTTAGAGGAGTTTGGTCTAAGGCCAGATTTGAATTCAGGTCTTCCTGACTCCAGGCCCAGGGTGCCTCTATCTACTGTGCCACCTATTATGTGTAAATCAAACTCAAATACTTTATTTAGAGGAGTTAGATCTAGTGGAAAGAGCATTCAATTTGCAGTCAACAGAGCCAACTTCAGATTTTAGCTCTGCTGCTTTTGTGTGAACTCAAGTAACTTACTGCACCCCTCTCAGCCTCAATTTCCTTTTCTGTAATATAAGCGGATTCAACAAGGTGATCTGTAATGCTTCTCCTTACTCTAAATCTCACGTCAGTATCTGTGCAGCACAGTTTATTATACAGGCAAACAGTAAGGAAAGCAAGAATGGGGAATAAGGGAGGGACTGTGGGTTTTCATAATAGTGAATTTTTAAAACTGGAATACATAATACAGAATAAAGCTCTATTATACAGAGGGCAAGGGCACTGGAAGGCAAAAAAAATCCAGTTTCTGGCATTCTTCCCTTTTTAAAAAACATTGGCCCCCTTACCTATGAGGTTCATCTTGGCACTATAGCTTCCAAAGTACCTCTCATCTGTGTTGGGTGTGTGGCACTCATACTCCCCAGCATCCCGGGCCTGCAATTCTGTGATATGCAGTAAGGCTGAATTGCCTTGGATTCTCTCCACATAGATCTTCCCACTCCGTACTCTCTGGGTATAGATAGCGTATGGGAAGGAAGAGTCAATGGTGCTGACAATTTGCACCTCCCGCTCAGGTGCAGAAGGCAGGTAAATGGACCACTGGAAATCCTGCTCAGAGGGTCCCTGAAAGCCACTGACATTACACCAAATGGTGATGTGGGAGCCTTCCGTGCGATAAAGTGGTCCCTCTTGAACAGTGACTTGTCTCTGTGCTGACACCACACCTAGACACAGAGAGAGAGAGAGAGAGAGAGAGAGGAGAGAGAGAGAGAGAGAGAGATCAGACCAAAATGCAAAATGGCCCGCATTGTTCAAAGAGTTTATTGCTCATATGACAGTGGTAATAATTGCAATATAAATGTCTTACCAGCTCCTGTGATTTATAAATATTAATTAAAACTCACTCTAGTAAGGTAGCAACCCTATTTTACATATACAGTAATTTCACATTACAAGACCAGGTCTTTGTTGCCTTTAACTGTCTAACCCTTAGGAATAATTACTTTAATTGTTTGTAAGCAGGATTAATACAGGTGTGGGAAAGTGTTGATAAGTACCAAAGTACAGTAATACCCCCAAAATGAAAAGAAATTAAATTGATTACACAAATCCATACAAAAAGAAGAAAATATTTCCCAGATTCCCTGTTTTAAAGTGAAGGCTACAATATAATGAGTAAAAACATGGTTATTGCTTCTATTTAGTCAAGTCAGTCAACAATCATTTATGTGCCAGGCATTGTGGTAAGTGCCGCGTATAAGCAGAAGGGCAAAAACATGGCCCCTGCCCCCTAGAAGATCACATTCCAGCAGGAGAGACAACATGCAAATAACTATGTATATACAAGATATATACAATACAGTCTAAGTGGGGAGAGTAATCTCAGAGGGAAATCTTACTGGGGAGAGACTGAGAAAGGCTTCTGGCAGAAGGTGGGATTTAAACTGAGTCTCAAAGGATGCCAGGGAAGCCAGGAGACAGAGGTAAGGAAGGAGAGGGCATACCAGGCAAGAAGGACAAGAGAGGGGATGACCTAACACAACTAATTACAACGTCTGTCAGAATGCTTGAATACGTAACAAAAAAGTGTGGGAAACTAGGTAACTGGAGAAGGACACGGCAAACCACTCTAGCAATTTTGACAAGAAAACCCCAAAAAATGACTTAACAAACTACGTAATGAGAAGATCAAATCTAGTTAGGGTGAGGAACTGTCAGAGGAGGAAGGTCATGGAAGAATTTTTGATGGAGACAGCATTTAAGGAAATCCAAAGATAAGCAGGATTTGAATACTTAGAAATGTAGTACAGGAAAGGGTGTGGCACTCTGGGCATTGGAAACAGGGTGAGTAAAGGCACACAAGCCAGAAAACATGGGAATCATATTGAAGGAACAGTAAATCATCTCATTCGAACTACTAGAACTTAAAAGTGGAGTGTTGTTGAGTCGTCTTCAGTCATGTCCAACTCTTTGTCATCCCATTTGGAGTTTTTTTTTTTTGGCAAAGATACTGAAGCAGTTCGCCATTTCCTTCTCCAGCTCATTTTACAGATGAGGAAACTGAGGCAAACAGGGTTAAGTGACTTGCCCAGGGTCACACTGCTATTAAGTGTCTGAGACCAGATTTGAACTCATGAAGTTGAATCTTCCTGGTACCAAAGGTAATAAGCAATCTAGCCACTGTACCACCTATCTGCCTTTTTAAAACAGGTATGTAGCATTAAATAAGACTGTAAAGGTAGTTTGATACCAGACTGTAGAAAGCCTTGAATGTCAGGCTAAAGGATCTGGATGTTATTTTGAAGGCAAAAAGGGTCAATGATAGGGTTTGGAAGAGGGAAATGATGTGGTCTGACCCATGTAGCGGAAAGATTCATATGGGAAGCACTATGAAGACTGGGAGAGACATGATAGAGAGGTTGCCTCAGAAGACCTTGCTGGAGTCCTGCCTCTGACCCATACAGTCTCTATTTACTCCAGACTAGCCATTCAACCTCACAATGCCTTAGGTAGCTCTCTAGGACTCAACTGCAGAGAAGGTATCAGCAGGAGTTGATGGAGACAGTTTTCTCTTCTGGAAGTTCCTTTCTCCATACCAATGAAATCACATTACCAACCGGTGCCTATCCCTAGAAAGGATAACCACAGTATGCGCAGTATGGTAGAAGGGGCCCAGGCTCCAGGAGCCTGCCTCTGCCGCTTTTACTACCTCTTTGCCCTTGGCCAAGTCCCATAACATCTGTGGCCTCCATTTCCTCATGTGTAAAGTTAGGAGGTTGTACAAGCAGGCTTCTGGGGACCCTTGTAGCACTAACTGTGCAAGTCTGTGAGTTCCCTCTCCTTAATCACCAGTTGTACCCTTCAAGGTTTTTAATTCAAGGGCCACCTTGTCCAAGAGGACTTTCCTGATTCCCCCAGTTCAATCAATCAATAAGCATTTATTGTTACTCCTTGCCACACACCTTACTAAGTGCTAGAGATACATAGAAAAGCAAAAAAATAGTTTCTGTCCTCAAGGCACTTATGTTATAATGGAGGAAACAATATACAAATGAATATGTACATATAAGATATACAGTATGAATAGGAGGTAGGCAATCTTAGAGTGAAGTCACTAGCAGTGGGGTGGGAGGGGACAGGGATGACACCCCCAGAATGGTTTCTTGCAGAACATGGAATTTCAGGAAGTCTGGAAGGAAACCAGGGAACACAGGGTGTGGAGGTGAGGAGGAATAGAACATTCTAGGATACTGACATCCTCTAGTGAAATGGATCTATCTTCCTTCCCTCTACCATCCCATGATTCTGTATTTATTTGTACATATCCCGTCTTTCCTAATCAGCAACCATGTTGAATCCCTTCCCCAAGCCCAGAGTACTTAGTAGATAAGGGGGAAGGAAACGTTTAGTTTTTGGAATGTGTCTCCCCAGGGCCAAGCACAGCCCCAGCCACATGATAGGGTAAATGCTCATAGATGGACAGATGCTTGCATCCAGTCACCCTCGGCAGACTAGTAGATAAAGCAGATCACTAAAAGACAGGGATGTGCGTCCTGGCTGTGGTGAGCAGGGGGATGGGGTAGGATTGGGAGGAATTCTAGCATGTTTAGGTGAATGCTGTTAAAATGGATGACCAAGGAAGTCAATGCTAGATAGGGAATCAAGTAAAACCAGAAGGGAGACTGATGTACTGGAGCAATAGTGAGGGGTTAAGGGGCCAGAAGTCAAGAGAACAAGTCACTACTTAGAAACCTCCCAGGGTCTAAACATTAACCTGACCCTCCCACAATCAGCAAAGAGGATCTTAGTGGGGCTGCTCTTTGTATGCTCAAATCTATCCTTCCCTCCCTTTTGCAATGCCACCCAGGGAGGCATTGTTTATTTCTCCTCCTTCTGCTGGCCCGCAAAGGGCACTGGGCTGGAGTTCTTGTGAATGGCTGCCCACCATAAGCCACTGCATTCAAACGTAAATCTTGAGGGCTGGAATACAGCCACCCGCCACAAACTCCAATGAACTGACAACCAGGGAAAAATTGATACACCCAGCTGAACAAAGCCTTAACAGTTACTGTCAGGCTGCCATCTAAATCACAACACTTAACCAGCATCCATGAGGCAAAGTGTCCCCTGCACCAGGCCAGTCATCTCCCCTCCTTCCATACTACATCCCTTCCAGGATTGGGGGCTCAAAGGAAAACACGGGTTCATTGATTTAGGGCTGGAAAGGACTCAAGAAGATACTTAATCCACCACCCTCATCAAAGGCTACAGAAGTTAGGTGACTTGTCCAAGGTCACACAGGTGGTGGGTGGCAGAATCACTCAATGCAAACGCAGGGCTCTTTCCACACTGCCTCCTTGTGGCTATCAGAGTCTTCCCTTAAAAGCACTCGTTTTCTAATTTTTGATTTCTCCTGCCTTCAGACAATTCTCCAACCTACTTTTTTGGTTCTTTGTGTTACAAAAGCAGCTCATTCAATACTGCCTTGGAACTCTTTGTAAGGATCGTCTTATATCCAAGCTAGACCCATAATCCCATGAGTTAAGCAGTTCAAGGATGACATACACATTCTGCAGATGAGATAAGTGAGTCTCAAAAAGCCTAAGTGCAGCCATTTCAAAATGGATGTCCCCCGAGACATCTCAAACTCTCCAGTCCAAAACAGAACTGGTTATCTTTCCCCCCGAGCCCACCCCTCTACCAAACTTCCTTATTTATGGCCAAAGCCCAGCCAACCTCACTGATACTCAACTCTCCCCTCTCCCTCACCCATCACATCCAATCAATCACCAAACCTTGCTGTTTCTCCCTCCATTATATCTCAGACATTTACCTTTTTTTTTTTCTTTACCAACACAGCTTCCTCCTGAGTTCTGGCCCTCATAAGCATTCACCTAAACTACTGCAGCCGCTTCCTAATTGGTCTCCACGATTCAAGCCTCTCTCCCTTCTAATCCATCATCCACACAGAGAGATTTTCTTCAAGTCAGAATGGATTATGTCATTCCCTTGCTCAATAACCATCAGTATCTCCCTATTACTTCTAGGAACAAATATAAACCTCCGTACTGGGCTTGTAAGACCTTCACGTGGCCTCAACCTAGAATTGTGTACTCACACATTACTTCTCTTCCCACTCTCTACAGAGTTCAGCCAAATTGCCCATAAGACTCTCTATCTCCTTCCTCTGCATCTCTGCATTTGCTCAGCCCCATGGCTGGAATGCCCTTCCCCTTTACCTCTACCTTAAATAACCTTTCACTCCCTTCAAGACAACCTACATGAAGCCTGTCCTGATCTGTCCAATGCCTAGCACCAGTCCTAAAAGCACATGGCAGATATAGCAGGACAGACTGGGCAATGTAAGTAAATCTCGAGGGCACAAAGTGCCTGGGGTGGGGGTGGGGCAAGGTGTGTGTTAAGAGGTTGAATTTTGCCGTCTGAAACTTTGAATATTCCCAGCCCACAAATCTGCCAGGGCTGACACAAGGAACAAGTTTTTCCCAGGTTACAACCTACCTCCCCTCGCTATATAAACTCTAGTGGCGCCCTATTACCTCCAGAATCAAATGTAAAATCCTCAATTTATCTTTGAGCCCTTCACAGCCTGGCCCCTTCGTACCTTTCTAGTCTGAGGCTGGTGACTTTGCACAGCCCTCTTTCACTTCAATCCAATTCACTTGCATGTCATGGCCTCACCTCCCTGACACTTTGGTCTTCTTCG